TAGGTTATGATGTGCTTAGTGTACAAAGATAAATTGATGCAAATAGAATAAATAAATAGCAAGTAAGATTTGTGACTAAATTCAGGAATCAGGATGGTGCTAGTGTGGAGAAATGCTGACAAGGAAGTGCTTCCCTTCTGTTGGCAGGCAGATTCCACAGTCCTGTGCAGAGCCTGGACACGGATGATGACGGGAGTCCCGTGCATGCCGGGAGCTCGCACTGGAGCGGGGCACACTCAAACGTTGGGATGCACTGCACAGACCCTAAAAGGAAGGATAAAGGTAAAGGTCAGTGTGTTTGCAGATGAGGTGCTGGGAGGTTGGAGACCCCAACTGCTGCTGGCTTTTTGTGTAGCTTCCTCGCTTTGGTAGAAATTGTGAAGGATTTACATTTTCTGGTATTGCTTTGTTAGCTGAAAATACAGCTAACAGGGGAGAAATAACTGGTCTATTGCATTTGAAAGCTGCTGGAGCTGACTGAAAAGTTAAAAATGGGTCCACGTGTTTTGTAGTGGGTTTTTTCCAACCTTTTGTTATGTATTTCTTCCTGCAGAAAAAGGTACTAACAATGGAATGTGCAGAGATTTATGTGACTCACCTATATTCAGTGACAGCCCCACAGAAGAAGAGAAGCCTCTAGATATCCAAACTGTAGAAATTTCTACAACAGAAGTGAATGCTGTAGAAGTTCACGATATAGAAACACAGACTGTGTCACCTGAGAAGCTGGAAGCTGAGGACCTTGAGGAAATCCCTCTGGAGACCTGTAAAATCTTTGAGAAGAACCAGGCTTTGAATATCACAGCTCAACAGAAATGGCCCTTGCTGAGAGCCAACAGCAGCGGCTTATACAAGTGTGAGCTCTGCGAGTTCAACAGCAAGTACTTCTCTGATCTGAAGCAGCACATGATCCTGAAGCATAAGACATGTACAGACACTCATGTCTGTAAAGTTTGTAAAGAAAGTTTCTCCAGCAAAGTGCAGCTCATTGAACACGTAAAACTACACGAGGAGGATCCGTACATCTGTAAATACTGCGACTACAAAACGGTGATTTTTGAGAATCTGAGTCAGCACATAGCAGACACTCACTTCAACGACCACCTCTACTGGTGTGAGCAGTGTGATGTGCAGTTCTCCTCCAGCAGCGAGCTGTACCTGCACTTCCAGGAGCACAGCTGTGACGAGCAGTACCTGTGTCAGTTCTGTGAGCACGAGACAAACGACCCCGAGGATCTGCACAGCCACGTGGTGAACGAGCACGCGTGCCGGCTCATCGAGCTGAGCGACAGCTACAACAGCAAGGAGCGTGGCCAGTACAGCCTCATCAACAAAATCAGTTTTGACAAATGCAAAAACTTCTTTGTGTGCCAGGTGTGCGGCTTTAGGAGCAGGCTGCATACGAATGTCAACAGGCACGTAGCTATTGAGCACACCAAAATATTCCCTCATGTTTGTGATGACTGTGGGAAGGGGTTTTCAGGTATGTTGGAATATTGCAAGCACCTAAGCTCTCATTTATCTGAAGGGATTTATTTGTGTCAATACTGTGAATATTCAACAGGACAAATTGAAGACCTTAAAACTCATTTGGATTTCAGGCATTCAGCAGATTTGCCTCATAAATGTACTGATTGTTTAATGAGGTTTGGGAATGAAAAAGATCTTTTAAGTCATCTTCAGATACATGAGACAGTGTGATTGCTTTCTTTTTCTGTAATCAATTTGTTAGAATTGGAATTAATTTCCAGTCACTGGAATGTGATATTAAATACAATTTTAACAGCAATTGTACATTTCTAATGTTTTCATCTTTATATCAGCCAAGCATGTAGAGCACTTGGTGTTGTGAATTTCCTTGTCTAGGGGTTTCAGTAGGAATAATCACATTTACACTGTGATGGATCAGGTTTTGGGGGGAGGGACAGTGGGAGTAATTGCATGTTGTGATACCAGTTCTGGTGGTCATCCTGCTCTTTCCTGTCTAGTGTACAAGACCACCTCTCATGAGTTTAGAAAGGCACAAAAACAAATATCTAATTCCATGCTTAAATAACCCAGTACTGGTCTCAGTTCCACATCCAGCTCATGTTACCCTGGGTGGCAGCAGGTCACTGCGCTGGTGTTTAGCAGTAGCACTGGCCTGCCAAAGATAAGGGTGCTCCAAAAGTTCCCAGGCATGGACATCTCCAGATTCACATACCAGCCTTCATTTCCCACCTCATGCTCCTGATAAGCTTTTTCAATTGTCCTGTTTTTCTCCTGGGACACCTTTCTGACCTCACTGTTCACTTTGTTCTGTGCAAGTCCCATCTGTGGGACTGTCCAACACATGCACAACACACTCTTCCACATATATACTACACAACTTCCACATGATATTCCCTTTATTTACCTTCAGTTCTTGCCTTTTAATGCACTGAGGAGAAACACATTGCTTGGGTTTGGATTGGATCATGTTCTAAATAGTAATTGCAAAAGGAATTTGCAATGATCCTTCTGAGAATGTACAAAATTAATTTCTTATATAAAATCCTGATATAGCTCTCACTGAAATTATGGATGTCACCAACCTCTGACTAGAAAAAACTTCTAGTAGTCTATGTTATTTTAGTAATTCTGTATAATTATCTTTTCATCACTAGTAACTTGAGGAATGTTATTTTAACTCTGTAAATTTTTAACTTTTATGTACAGGCTTAAAAGACCAGTACATTACAAAATTTTTGCTAATCACTCTCAAATTATTTCACACATTTGTTTATATTTTACAAAGCACTATCCTGCCATTGCAATAATTGGAAGTGAGTTTTTGCAGTTCATTCTGTAGCTGTATATCTGAGTGGATACTTGGACAGATTAAAAAAAAGAGTGGGGTCACTTAGATCATGCTAGAGATCATGGTGAAAATATTCATCCTAATTACTGGTGGAGTTTACATTTCTTTCTTCATTGATTGTAAATTTGTAATGTAAGATTGTCTAATGCAAGCTTTGTATAGAGATAATTAATGTATCAAGCATTTCTTGATCAGTGAGGTTTGGTGTTATCAGCTTCAAGGCGTGCAAGAGTCTGTGGATTTGATTTTTAAAGCTAAGGATAAAACTTGGCTGAATGTTATCGATTAATGGAAGTTCTGATTTCCAGAGAAGTATTTCTGGAAAGTCTTATGAACCACTTAGTGTTTATTTTGCTGTGAGAGGAAAGACCATTTCTATCACTTTGAAATGCTGATATACTACTAGATCTGGTTTTTGTCATTGAAAGGGCAACCTGAAGGTGTCTTGCTGTATTTTATTACTCCCTTGTTTATAGAATGATAGTATCTGTGGTACAATTGCTGATTTCCTATTTTGAACACATTCTTCCCTGGTTGGCTTAAAATGGTAGCAATAATATAGTTAACAAAACACTAAGATGAGTTATTTTCTGTATGGAAAGTTCATTTTGTTCATATATCTGAATGGGGGAATGCTGGTTCTCTGAAAACTTTGCTCCTGTTGATGGCACAGAGGTGGAATGGCACAGCTGAGCTCTGGAGAGAAAGCTGCTCTGGGAGACACACAAGAAGTGGAAAAAAGGCATTTAAAAATCCCCAAAAATAAATAAGGGGGCTTAAGAAGTGTGTTGTGTAAATTGTGTAGACCAGCAGGAAAGGTGGTGTCCTGTGCCAGCACAGAGCCCTGTGACACAGCAAACTTGCTTGTTGATATGAATAACTTAATAGCTGTCTTTGCGTTGGGTTATTTCTGATCTCTAAAATGGGAATCAAAACATTCCCCCACAGGAATGCTGTGAAGCGAAATCATTCCAAACTAAAATGCAGCGTCTAAACAGGAAATGTATCCAAGGTTATTTTATGTTGGATTTTATAAATGAGGGACTAATATTAATATTTTCTTTGTAATCTCTATCAGGGAGTAAATGGAAGTGTATGGGAGTAGCATGTCTCATTTTAAAAGGGAACACAAGTCCACTGCTGGCTTCCACATGATCTGCATGTTAAAGCAAGAAAGTTACTAAGTAGTAGGAAAAATAGGTAATGAGTATGCCTGGAATCCGGAAGGCTGAAGGGCATGGCTGAGCCTGCCAAGGACAGGCACGACATTTGGGTTATTTGGGTGAAGTGCAAGGTGAGTGCTCTGAGCTGAGCGCAGCTGCTCTGGTGCCGCCACAGCTCATCTCAGTCCGGAGAGGCAGAAATAAACTGTAGGGACCAGGACTGTGCCGCTATTTATTATTTTTCTCCAAGGCAGTGAGTATCAAATTTGGTGGTTCACTGGTACCTGCAAGGTTCAGCTGTTTCAGGAGCAGCGTTCCAAGCAGAAGCTATGCAAAATCATGAGATTGGTTTTGGCAGTGTTTTGTATTTGTGAGAGACCTGTATTTGATTCTTTGCTTTTCAGACTTTTGAACCCTTCGTTTCAATGTGTGACTTGATTTTAGGGGTATTTTCCAACCATAACAAATCTGTGTGTATCAGATTCCTGGATCGTATTTCTTATTGAGCAAAAGACCATTTTTTATGTGAAAGACTGTTGACTTCAAAGTTTACATCCCACAAATTATTGCAAGATCTTAAAATACAGCAGATTAGTAATCCTCAAATATCGTGTCCTCTCGAATGCTGTTGTCGCCGATTTCCATTTTGGTTCTCGTTTCTTATTGCTCCCGTACCAAAAGCATGAGGTACCGGTCTCTAACTCCCGAAGGCCCGCGGCGTTGTCCCGTGCGGGCTTTGTCCCGTGCGGGCTTTGTCCGCACCGCGGTGCTGAGGGCGAGCCTGGGGGATGATCCCGGCTCCATTTCGCGAACTGCCCGCGCTCAAGATGGCGGCGGCCGCCCTCAGCCCGCACTGAACATGGCGGTGCCGCGCGGGGGTCACAGCAGGAGGAAAGGGAAGTGACGCCCCCCGTCCCGGCGGCGGCGGTGACGGGCACGGCCGGGGCCAGCGGGGCTCCGTGAGGGACAGGGGCCGGGACCGGGAGGTCCGTGAGAGACCGGGGGAGCGGGGGCTCAGGGAGGGACCGGGGCTGTGCCAGGGCTCCGTGAGAGCGAGGCGAGCGGGGGTTTCGTGAGGGACCGGGGCCGAGCCGGGGCTCCATGCGGCACTGCGGCCGAGCCAGAGCTCTGTGCGGGACCGGGGCCGAGTCAGCTCTCTGCGGAACCGGGGCCGAGCCAGAGCTCTGTGCGGGACCAGGACCGAGTCAGCTCTTTGCGGAACCGGGGCCGAGCCAGAGCTCTGTGCGGCAGCGGGGCTGAGCCGAGGCTCCGGCAGGGAGCAGGGCTGAGTGAGGCACCATGAGGGGCTGGGGCCGCCGCTGCCCCTCAGCCTGAGGGAGCCGGGGCTCCGGCGGGGAGCGGGGCCCGTCCTCGCTGGCAGCCCGTCCAGCGCTGACCCGCGGGCGTGGGCAGGCGGGAGCTGTGTTTGGCGAGGGGAAAGCCTCGTGTTTCCGGGACAGATAGCACCGGATCAGTTCGAACCTGTCCCCGAGTTTCGCCAGCTGCTCTTGGCGCTTGTGGTGAGGAGAGGAGAGTAAACAGCTCAAACTGAGCTTACTGCCCTTTGGAGTTTAGAGCTTTGATTTGGGGCTTCAGGCTTTTTTGTTTTGTTTTGTTTCTTAATGGCTGTGTGAGCAGTGTATAAGTTTTAATTAGCTGGGTGTACTGAGTGTTTGGTCACTTGATGCACCTTTCCTTGCAGCTGCAGCATGGCAGAAGCCTCTGTCTCTCCACTGAAGCACTTTGTGCTGGCCAAAAAGACCATCACTGCCATCTTCGACCAGCTGCTGGAGTATGTCACTGAGGGAGCAGCATTTGTGGAAGGTGAGCTTTCCCCTTAAACACGAGGGCCTTGTCCTTTGTTCTGAGTGTTTTACTGCAGCATAATGTACCTTATGTTACCTGTTACTATGCTTTTTGTATAAACCTGTACTTTCAGAAATAGTCACATTTTTCATCTGACACTGGGTGTTTTTTAATCTTGTGGTGGAAGGAATGCCTGGCATTCCTACATACCTGAAAAGCTGATTAACTCCCTTGGATTGGCAGCCTGGTCTCTTTTCCATGAGGGTGAAAGCTTAACCACTCTGGCCTTGTAGTTCTGTGGCGGTTTCTTTTGCACGGAAGGAGGGACAAACAGGTTCTCCCATTTTTCAGCAGAAGGGTGCATCAGTGATGCAATGCAGGGAGCCACTGGTCACACCCTCAGAGGTTTTAACAGCGTGGAATGTGTGTGGCCACACAGAGCTGGGTGCTCATCATCCCAGTGAGCTCTGCAGGGGCAAGGCAGCCCAGCTTAGCTGGTGCATCCGTGGGAGGTCCTGGCTTTCCTTTCTGAAGGAGCAGGTGTCCCAAGGAACCGGGCACGTGAGCCCATCAGGCTGTGTTCACTGGGTTAGTGGATCAGAGGTTGGGTTGGTGATTGATCTGAAGTGATTTATGTTGTGATTTCACCAGTGCTTGTGGCAGCTGTCAAATGATAAGGGCTGGTATCAGTGTCCATAGTGAGGTTTTTCTTGTTTTGTTTAACCACTGTAATTAAAATTTGCAGCTGACATGTTAAGTACTGATTACTTACACCTTGTATCACAGAACACATTCTCTGTATGTGATTGCTTTTGTGTTTTTCCTTTCTGTGTGTAGCCACATACAAGAACCCAGAGCTTGATCATATAGCAACAGAAGATGAACTAGCAAAAATACAAGCATATAAAAACAAGTTGGCAGTCATTGGAGAGGTGCTTTCACGGAGGCACATGAAAGTGGCATTTTTTGGCAGGTAATGAACAAAATTACCAGTGCTTGATTTCACATTTTTTTTACTTGGGAAGGTCAGAGGTTGTCCTGTTCTCCAGAAAGGCTTTTGGGTTTTTTTAAGGTTGTGGTTTTATTTGTTTAATATGTTTTTGTTGTTGTTGTTGTTCTGGACTGTTCCTGCTTAGGATTTTTTTTTTGTATTTGTTCAGAACTGCTGAAGAACTGAACTTGGAGCTGTTCATGCTTCTATCTATAAGCAGCTGAAGAGAAACAGAGATGGTTGCCTGATTGGTTGTAACATCAGTCTGATAGATCTGTGTGATGATTTTAAGGATAACAGTAACAGTGTGGTCTGCTAGTCTGCTTTGCTTCAGGGAATTGATTTTTCTGTGCTTACATTTAAACATGTGGTTACATATTTTTGGAGCGTGAATCTTCATGGTTCTAAAAATTCTGCAGTAGTGTTGGAAGAGACATGTACAATGGTGGTCTTGCCTTCATTTTGCTAAAAATAGTTTAGTTATTTAAATAAAATATATTAAAAATTCTGGAATAAAATTGGTTATATGTCAGCCTTGATATTTCAAAAAGTTAAAAGTTGAGTATAAGCTGTAACGTGTTTTGCAAAGGGAAAAAGTTCTGCACAGGACAAAGAGAGCTCAACTCTCCCTCTGGCATCTACTCAAAATTGTGAACTGTTGTATAGTGAGCACTGAACTTTTTCTGGAAGTAGCTCAAAAATGAGTTACAGTCTATGTAACTTCATGCTGTTGTGTAATAGTTAAAGCTCAGATATTTGTGGGTGAGGGGTAGAGGGTTAGTGCAAAGTAGGACACTGCTGAGGACTTCAAGTGCAGAACATGGAGTTGGTGACCAGTTCCTGTGAACGAGCACTCCCCACTCTCCTGGCTGGAGCTCTGTACCCAAACCAGCTGTGCTCTCTGGGGGTGGTGCACTGCAGTGGGGGTGCATTCAGTTCAGCACAAAGGTGTGTTTGGTGCTGCTGTGCTCTGCTCAAAGTACTTTTGTTTTCTGTCCCTCTAGAACAAGCAGTGGGAAAAGTTCAGTCATTAATGCAATGCTGTGGGACAAGGTACTTCCCAGTGGGATTGGCCATACAACAAACTGCTTCCTCAGTGTGGAAGGGACTGATGGAGATAAGGCTTATCTTATGACAGAAGGATCAGATGAAAAGAAGAGTGTCAAGGTACATTTCTTGGATTATTTCATGCCAATTTTCACAGGAATGACGCTCACAGGGTCTCTTTAACAACAGTTTCAAGTCCAACAAAAGTATAAGGCTCACTTATTCTGGATTTTTAAGTTCTTACTTAGGAGGGAAGAGCAAACTAATGACTGTGCTCTGCTCCACAGTTTTCTTGGCTGTTTTAGGGAAACAACTAACGTGTGTCTCATTGTAGCATAGCATGTGTTGAGTGATTTATTTTTACAGGACTCAGTAAGTCCTGTTACTGATTAAGGGTTTGCAATGTGCCCTTCATTTGGACTGATGGTGCTTATCTTAGTGAACTGCATACACTGATTTGTGAAACCTGAGGCAAATTCATGATGATGCTCAGTAGCACAGAGTCCAGCCCTGTAGGGGCATTTGTGGCTCAGAAGAAACTCTTGTCTGAGTTTCAAGGCACAACTTGTTCTTTAGATGCTGGTGAGTTGAAGAGCTTAAAGAAAAAAAATCACAGCTATTCACCAAAACAAAGTATGAACTCTGTTACCCTCTTCAAGACAGATCCTGTCCAAGTTTGCTTGAGAGCTGAATCAGTCTGGTTTACAGACTTGTTTGAGGTGCATATTCATGTTTATGTTCTCTTCGGTGCTCTCTCTAGACAGTCAATCAGCTGGCTCATGCACTTCACATGGATAAAGATTTGAAGGCTGGCTGTCTCGTCCATGTCTTTTGGCCCAAGTCAAAGTGTGCCCTGCTGAGAGATGATTTGGTTATAGTGGACAGGTATCTCTTCTGTTTTAGTAAATACTTTCTTAAGGATGTTAATCATTACAATGTTTAGAAAAGAGATTGGTTTAGATTCAAAATTCTTGAAAGACTTTTTTGTTTGAAAGGACAAAGTTTGTTCTTTTGTATGTACTGCTTGTCATCACCCTCCTGATTCTGCCCTTGTAGCAGTTGGAACAGACGGGTGTCTTGTGACTGAGCTGAAAAAGGGAATAGCCTTTGGCTGAGGATACTCTACCTTTACAACAAACTGTATGGAAGTGTGAATAGGGTTGTTGCAGCAACAACCTTTTGCCCATTTCCTTTCTTGAAATGCTTCAGACAGATCATGTGAAGTATAAACAACGTGGACTTCATTTTTAAAAGCTTCTGATAAGAGAGTGCCAAAATAATGGGTGACCTCAAAATGTAGTTGTGACTGTGTGAGCTGTGTGTGCCCTGTGGCATTTCCTATGAGTTGATGTGTTTAAAGAATTCTGGAGGTGGTTGTTTTGTCCATGCCAGATGCCCTTATTTCTGGCTACTGCATTATAACCTACAGTAGCTTTTCATGTCTTCAGGTGTTCTGTACCTGATGTGTAAATCAATAAATACTGAATTTAAGAGTAATTCACACAGGTGTCAGTGAATTTTTAAGTATGATTTCTTCAAGAAAAAAACACTCAGAGTGTATGTTCCATCTCTGTCTTGTACTTTGAAATCACTGGGAGTTTGTTGTTATTTCCTTGGGTGCCTGATCTTGGATCTGTACAGTGTCTCTTCTAAAGAGAAAATAAAAGAGTGTATATGCTGAGAGAGCAGGTACTTGCAAAGAGCAGATCATCCTTTCTCTGTTAAATTGAGAAACTTTGAAGAACAATAATTTAAGTATTGCAAACATGACTTAATGCTCATGTTCCACTTAATTTTTTTTAATGGCTAGCACAATAGTTTTAATTCCATTTTGGTTTCTTTTTAAATCTGTGCACAGCTTGCATAGCATATTGCTTTAAACTTGGACTTTATTAATGAAAAAAATATTTCATGAACTACTGTCTCTTCTGATTAAAATTAGGATCTGAGGAGGGGAACCATTATGTGAGGCTGTCTGGGTTTCTGATAGACTGCCTGTCACTTCACTTGGCAGTTAATTATGTGTGCGTACTTACTAATCAGAAATTACATTTTGGAATGAGTAGGTAGTCTAATGATCAAATGACTGATGAATTTGAGATGGTAATTGGCTTGTGCAGTGTTTACCTTCAGTTTGAGCCTCAAACTGCTGTAATTTCTTGCAAGGCCCTTAGGCATTTCCAGTCTATTTTTATCAGTTTATAAAAATAAACTACTTCTTTGCTGTGTAAATAAAAGTTTGTGTTTTCTGTTCTTGACAGTCCTGGCACAGATGTCACTACAGAACTGGACAGCTGGATTGACAAGTTCTGCTTAGATGCTGATGTGTTTGTCTTGGTTGCCAATTCTGAATCGACTCTCATGAACACGGTATGATGTGCAATGATTTTATGTGCCTCCTTCATTTAAATATTCAGCAGTTCCATAACCAGAATAGCTGAGACCTTTACAGAAGGTGACTCACTGCACCTAGGTCTTGTGAATAGGACTTGAGGGTGGGAGGCAAGAAACAATGTATGTCTCTCAGTAGGAAACAGAAAACAAAATTTAAATTTCCAGCTGCCTTGGCTTTCTCTGCCTTGGGTGTCATGATTGTTCTTTCCAGTTCAGTTGTGTTTTTGATTAATGGATGATGGAGAGCTTGTCTTGCCTTGCAATTTGTTGGTATTTGTTACCAACAAAAGAAGGCACTTGTGGACTGAAGACACTTGTATTATCAAAAAAATTAAGGAGTGTTTCATATCCAAAAATACTCCATAAATTCAGTAAAATACACAAACTAGGTGAAAGGAGTTCAGTTCCTGTCTTGTTGCTCTCTCAGGAGAGGATGAATTCCCTTGACACACCTTGTGTTGAGGAGGAGTGTT